AGTAGTTATCCCTGTTAAAAAAATCCACAACAAAAAGAAAATATTTGGGCAGAAACTGCACATATGCTAGATGCTGATGGGGATCTTTTTAATATGTCATACTAAATTAAATGTTAATTTCTGCATGTTTTGCTCCTATGAATTTAATAATAATATCATGCTTTCCTCAAGCTCAGAAGTTGTCTGAGCTCAGCAAGACACAAGGAACAGCAGAGGCTTTATGCTTTGCTCAGGCACAGGCACTCTGGAGAGGGGCAGGGCGGTGACAGAGGATGTGGGATTTTGCTTTAACACAGCGTAGCTTTGTCCAGCCAACTGTGATAACTAACTTTCTCATCTGTTTTAAAACTGGTGCACTCGGCTCCTCATCCATACAATAACAGCTGTTTCTGTGCTCAGCATGCTTGTGCACTCTTTCTACTACAACAGTCTATAAGCAACATTTTTTCCCTCATTCATAAAAAGGTAAAATCGGGGACATGTCTGGAAATTAGGGACATGTGGTCACCCTATTATACGTCAGGTTGTACACCTAAATTCGACCAATCATATATCAACGGTTACCTGTCAATCAATTTTTTTTCGGTCATAGCACCTTGATTTATATGTCACAGCTAATATATGTAATGATTAAAATAAGAAAAATAATCTTTATTTACTTTACTATTGAGCTAAGTCCCAGACAGAACAGGTGTTTTTAAAGAAAAAGTACTATTGGTAGCTCTGGATTATGAGCTCATCAGCTGGGACCAGCTTGCTGGATTCTCTGTAGAAACATCCAGGTTAGTGATCATTAGAATCTGATAAGGAACAATAACAAGCATGTGAATCGCTAACTTGGTTCTGAGTTCAGTCCGTGTCCAGAGGAAGGAGTGGGAACGAGTTGGATGACAGACAGTTCGAGGAGCTAGGCAGAACAGCCTGTAGAGCGCAAGCCAGCAGATGCTGATGAGCAAAGGAGTCCAGAGGCTGAATCTACAGCAGGTGATGAAGCAGGGGTCCATACCAGAAGATCAGAGAGTCACAGAGGTACTGATGAGATAATCCAGAACAGGGTCAGGGAAAAGAACCAAGGTTGCTAACAGACCGATCTCAATCAGAAGCCCAAACACAGTATGAAGGGAGAAACAGCCTGGAATAGGGGTAAGCCAAAACTCAACAAACCAAAGGCAGAAACAGGTCAGGATTAGGCAGTCGAAAAAAACAACAAGGTACACTTGGGTACTTCTCACACTCGATTCAAATAAGCTGGAACTGAAGGCCAGAAAACAGGCAGCATAAATAGGAGCTGGAACAGGTGGATTAGATCAAGGCAGATGAAAACTGGGCAAAGCTAAGCAGGTGGAAGGAAAAAAAACTAATGATCCAGTCATCAACTCTTACATAACTTTCTATCTGATCACATCATTCTTAACATTATATCACATCTACCTAGCTTTATTTGGTTCTTGATTAGCTATTTTAACAAGTACTTCTTTAACCTTTCTTGAGTAACTTCTTCGATAACTACCTTCTTCTTTTCTGACATAAAAGAACAACAATTAAAGGTCCCAAGCTCTCATTCTACCAGTCGGTCTACATTCTTACACTCATCTGTGGACATGAAATCTGGGTCATAGCTGATATAACCAGATACCTGGGCACTGTTGGGCACTCCATTAGAGATAGGGTGAGAAGCTCGGTCATTCCAGCGATTTTGGGAGTAGAGCCGCTTCTCCTCCACATTGAGAGAAGTCAGCTGAGGTGGCTCGGATATCTTTTTCAGATGCCCCCTTAATGCCTTCCTTGGGAGGTGTTCCATGTATGTCCCACCAAGATAAGGCCTAGAGGACAACCCAGAACAGGTAGGAGGGCTTCGGCTTCTCCAGAAAGAGCTGAAGGAGGTATCTGGGGAGAGGCATGTCTCTGAGTCTCTGCTGAGACTGATTTCTTTGCCACCCAGACCCAGATGATGCGGGAGACGACAACTACAAGCTCCCATTTATGCTAGATTTGAAAACGAAAATATTAACAATTAGGCCCCCATAGAATGTTTTTGCTATTTGTGCAGGAAAATTCTTGTCCTATTAGGCCGACAGGATGTGCTAAAGACCTCCTCATTCAGCCCTATTCCGGACATCCCCACTCTCCTAAAGGCTTAGGAGAGTGGAAGAGTTTAGAACATTGCATTGCATTAAATACCTGACCTAAACCCATGTATGCTACAGACTGCTATCGAAATTTACAACACACTAACACACAAAAGTAGTAGGTTGACCAGACAAACAGCAAGTAAGTTGAGAAATTTTGAGCATGCTCAAGATTTGAGCATGCTCAAAATTTCTTCATGTATGCCACCGTTGCTCATATGTGGGCCTTAAGTTGCAGGTAAGTTATTTGATCATTGACATATGTTGAGTGTAAGTTACTCATAAATGGTGGTGTCTAGCTTATCCAAAACCTATGAGTAACATTTGCATAACTTATGTGTAACTTATCAACAACGTATCTCCAACCCATATCGATGTATTTGATGTGTTCCAGATGACTGCTGAACATGTTTCTAATGGCATATTGGCAGCATTTTGGTATAAAAGGAGGTTAACAGGAAGAAAGCCCCATCATAGGGTGAGCAAGAAGGTGAGTGTGATGGATCCTGCCTGTGTTCATGGCCATGACCAACAAACTTCCTACTAGACATGACTCTGAATCAGCTGCAACTGCAAACTTCATTTGTTTTTAACTTTTTTTTTCATTTATTTATAAATTTTTTTTTTGGTGGGTGGTAGCAGCTAGGTTAATACCGCAATCACAGAAATCTTTTTATGCAGGCTGGGTGCCTCTGGGCGCTTTGCTGCCACCCTCAGGACACTGCTTGTGACATTACGTGGGCATCTCGAAGCGCTGCTGTGCCTTATGCATAAGTGAGGCTGTTGTTGGACATAAGTTCTGGACTCGTTCTGAAATATATAAAATTGAAAAAATACATAGAAAGTTCCTTGTATGCCAGCATTTTAGACCACAAAAGTAGTTTAAATCAAGCACACAATAAGAGTTAAAACATATATCCTGCCAACAATTGAAACATATATTACAAACTTTAAACACAAACTTTAGCTGAAGTGCCAACATGGCTAAACAGTCACGCTAAACAGTCTGACAAAGTAAAAAAGCCTGAAGTTCTGCGGGTAGATTTCCATCAGAAGTAATATTTGTCCACTAAGTTTTCAGAGGCTCAGATGCAGGCAGTAAAAAACTTTTGTCTTGATGTAGGCATTAACAGGTAATAACCAGGTGAAGAGCCGGGACACAATCCTCTTGACACACAGGGCCCCAATAGTCAGGACATAATACAGGGACTTAACTAAACTCAAAAGCAAACAAACATGAACAACTAACAAGAGTACATACGAATAACTTATTATCTGGACCTGGGCTAAAAAGTATATAAAGCAGAGCGAACAGGGGGATAAGATCAATGAAAATTAGAGCAGCGGGAGCGAATGGCAGGTGAATGAAGTGAGTAATTAAATAATCTACCGGGGCTGCAATCGTGACATTTTGTCTCTAATGCTTTTATTTCCACATATTTGATATCATCAGTCTAAATTCTTAAAGTGTGAAAATTGTTGTACTCTATTTATTAAAAAATATGTTATTTTCCTAGGTATTTTTGTGTCACCTGTTAAAGGCAAAACTACTTCACATTCTTTTATCATGTTGGAGGATAATGAATTCTCTGAAAAATGTTGTGCTCTTTTTCATCCTCTGATGTGGGGGCTGGCTCGGAGTTCATCTGCCTGGTTATGTGTTTCCTGGTTGGGGCCGCCTATGGAGCTGTTTGAAAGTTACCTCTGATAACTCTGCTTATTTTTCTATGAATGCTTTAGTCTCCTCGAACCCCAATCGGCCTCGGCAGATGGCAGCTCACACTGATTCTGGTTTTGTTGGAGGTTCCTTCTTGTTAAAAGCGACTTTCCCTCTCCACTGTCACTTAAGTGTGCTTGTTGAAAGGGATTGCTTTCAAGTAAATGTGTCCCTTAGATAGAAAACTTTGAACCAATCTGCCTGTATGATCTGGTTGAATTATCTCTCTAGAGTGCCCTGAGATGACATGTGTTGTGAATTGGAGCTATATAAACAATTGGAGCTTTATATACAAACTGAATTGAACTGAATACTGTCCATCACTGTATATATGTATATCATACCCAGCTGCGTAATCTCTATGTGCATAATACTTGCATAATACTTGCAAATGTCGATGACAGTATTACAAAATACATCACATTAATAGAAAGCTTTCACATGAAAACCCTTATTTTTCGATAAATGTAGAAAATGATCTTAAACTTGCCATTCTCCAGTACACATTCCTCAGGTTTTTGTCTACTATGTTTTCAATTATCAGGAATATGACTAAAACCAATCAAACAGGTGAAACAAATTAAAGCATTTTTCTTTCAAAAACTGTTAAAGATCTTTTCTTTATTTGATACATTTTTATCTCGGTTAATTCCAGTGGGTCCACATACAGCATCAAAGGACCAGAAATATTAATGTGATAATGCAATTTTATTTACATTGGTCAATTGATAAAAACAAACAAAAAAAACTCCTGTATACTGTACTTCATTTCAGGGGAAATGCAGAAGAATCCCACTGAATGTAGTGATATGGCTGTCCCCCCAGACATTAGTATTAGGACCCAACCGCATATAGACATGGTCTCCTTGCTGCAGTTGCAGAAATGCTGCATTTCCTCCATTATCAGCCCCATCATGAGATGTCTTATGGTCGTAGGCAGTCACAATAACCTCATTGTTCTTCATAAGGGCTAGACTTACAGCTTCTGATCCTCCGGCATGATAAAAGAAGGTGAAGTAATATGTACCTGCAACAGGTGCAGCAAAAATACCTGGAAGAAAAACAAACAAGTTTAGTAGATATTGGTTCAACCTTCTAGATGCCAGTCTGCAAAACTTTTACACTGCTATCACTGTATGTGATGTGGAAAGCAACATGTAAATAACATGTATAATTACATAACATTGTTATTTAAACATTTATTTTTAACTATGATATACATATTATAGTTATAGTTTTATTTAAATTTTAGTCTTTATCAAAAACATTTCATATTAAAATAATGGTGTTTTCTTTTACTTAACCAATCACTTAGGCACCTCAGCATTCATCTGCTAAGGCTCTTACTCAACAGGGCAGTGGGTGGGTTCGACCAGGGCCCTGAATGTTTCTCTGAATATAGTTGTCACTGCACTTTAACCACTAGGCCATCGCTCTCTAGTGGTTGGTGAGACCACTAATATGATCACAAGGCAAGACCTGATTGTGAATAGCGCTTAACAAATAGAGACCATATTTCCAAAACAGATAATGAATATTGAATTGCATTTAATACATTTGCAGTGATTACCCATGGACTCTGCCCCATCATCTATCGTCTCAATCTGTGCTCAACACGATGACCCAATCCCAAACTATCCCCTAAGCACTACCCCTTAAAGGAATAGTACACCCAAAACATGATTAGCCTTCATTTCCTACTCACCCCCATGCTGAACAACACTCTGGAGTACTTTTTTGATATCTCAAATGCATCTGGAGATCTGGGAGGCTTCTTGCTGTCTGCTGAC